GGAAGCAGAGTCTCACACTGTCCTGATCCTCCATCATCCAGAAGAAAAGTCAGAGCAGGCAGCTCTCTGTCTGAAACTTTGAGCTATCTTAGAACTGATTTATTATTTACCAAGTGTTACCTCCCCCCTCCTCTCTTTCATAATGATGTCATGCGAGACCTCCATTATGGTGTGATAGCAAGCAATAATATGGGTGTCATTGCCTTTAAGAATATATTGATTATATAAATGGGAAAAAGAACTTTAAATGTTGTTCATGTTTTCTTTGACCCCTCATTGTAGACAGATTGATAAATAGATACCATATCCATCTTAAATATTCAATAGCTTATAAAGACAAAATTACTTCCTCCCGTCATTCAACAATCAAAAAACAATATGGATGCATTATGTTTATGTTTATGCATTTGGCAGATGCTTTTATCCGAAGCGACTTACAGAATAGACACAATATTACATTTGTCATCACTATGACAATAAGCTATACAGAGGAGAAACACTGATCAGAGTCAGTGGCGACAGCAAGAGATAGAGGTAGAGGGACTACAGAAGGAGCTGTGGGGGGTAGAGGTACGGGTTAGGGTTAGGATAGGAGATGCTCTTTGAAGAGGTGGGTCTTCAAGAGTTTCTTGAAGACAGACAGGGACGCTGCTGTTCTTGTGGCGCTTGGTAGGACATTCCACCATCTTGGAATGACACATGCAAACAGTCTGGATTGTCTTAAGCGTGGTGAAGGCACTGCTAGACGACAATCCATTGATGACCGGAGTGATCGAGTTGTGACATAATCCTTTGCAAGGGGATTCAAGTAGATGGGAGCCGTACCCTTAAGCACTTTGTAGGCTAGCATCAGGGACTTGATTTTGATACGGGCAGCCAGAGGTAACCAGTGGAGTTCAATGAACAGAGGGGTGACGTGAGATTTTTTGGGCTGATTGAAGACCAGACGCGCCGCCGCGTTCTGGATCATTTGTAAAGGTTTTACTGTACAGGCTGGAAGACCAGTCAGTTGCAATAGTCTAGGCGGGAGATGACCATAGACTGCACCAGGAGCTGGGTAGCATGTTGTGTTAGGTATGGCCGGATCTTTCTTATGTTAAGTAATGCGAAGCGACAGGATCGAGAAACAGAGGCAACGTGATCTTTAAAGGTCAGCTGGTCATCAATCATGACACCCAAGTTTCTTGCTGCCTTTGATGGAGTCAGAGAGAGGGATTCAGTTTGGATGTGAATATTGTGGTGAGTAGTTGGTTTGGCTGGAAAGACAAGCAGTTCAGTTTTTGAGAGATTCAGCTGGAGGTGGTGGGCTTTCATCCATTTTGATATGTCAGAGAGACTGTTTGAGATGCGTGCTGAGACGGAGTGGTCATCAGGTGGGAATGACAGATAGAGCTGTGTATCATCAGCATAGCAGTGGTAGGAGAAACCATGTGATTGAATGATCTGGGCCAAAGAAGTGGTATATATAGCAAAGAGAAGAGGTCCAAGTACTGAACCTTGAGGAACCCCTGTGGCGAGGTGGTGCGCTGCAGAAGTGTGACCAAGCCAGGATACTTTACATGATCAACCAGTGAGGTACGATTCAAACCAGGAGTGTGCTCTCCCTGTGATGCCCATACTCGAGAGTATAGACAGAAGGATGTCATGATTGACTGTGTCAAATGCATTATAAAGAAAATACACATAATAAATCATGATTTGTGTAATAAATTCATTTAAATTAATTGTATTTTTATTTTCCTAATCTACTATGATTGTAAATGTGTAAATGTGGAACTACAGGACTATATAAATGTATCCAATGGAGGATGAGTCAAGTCTTTTCTATCTAT